CGAGTATTTAAATGATGTGGTCAATGATTAATCCGGCAATTGTCATTATAAAAAAAAATGAATTATTAATTTTTATTTTTGTCGACGAATAGCAATGCTAAATTATTGCATGTGCAAAATATATTTCTAAAAGAAACTTTAAAAATTTTTTTTTTATTTCAACTCAATTTTTTTCTTCTCACTCCTTTATAAGTTAGCAAATCAAGAGCTTCTAACAATGTAATCATTACACATAATAACGAATATCCACAAATACGCGGCATGAAGTGTTTTTAACGTCAATTTGTGCTGTCAGTATTGTGGGAACATTTTATCGTAAATTATTTTTTTAGAAATTTATTGACGTGGGGTGGGAGAATGTTTGTCCGAATTTAATCCAATTGTTTGTTTGTCTTACGAGCTCTTTGTTCTTTGATTGATTTGATATGATATGATTAAAGATTAGATCTTTTTCAACTCGTGACATAATAATTTTCATACCATACATTATTAATTATATACTATATAAAATATAATAAATTATTAGCAAATATTATAGTTTACGTAATAAAAAAATATAATAATATTTACATGAACAAGATTCAGATTTTAAATTATTTAGAAAACCATCTATGTTAACAATTGTTAATTTTCCATGTCTGAGTGCTTCAGACAAGAAGACTCTTAGCACCCTTGCCCAATAAAGTAAATGATTGCTACTTGATCGATTTATAGCATCAACGATTAATGAATACAAATTGAAAATTTTATCGTCATTCGTAATCTCATTACTGATCATAATATTATCAAAAATTTTATTTAAATCAAAGATTCCACCATGAAATGAAATAGCAGCGTATTGTTGAACAATTGTGCTAATATCATCAAGGAAAGCCGTGAAGCCGTGATAATGACTTTCCTCTGTTATCGCTGAATCCCATAAGTGGTGAACTGCTTTATGCGAACCATGAATATCAAAACATAGAACATAAATTAGCAATAATTCCAAAAGAATTCCATGAAATCCTGTTGAAATTATCTTTTCTTCCTCCTTCTGCTCTTGTTCTTTATTACTGCTAATCGAAATTCCAAAAAATGTAGGCACACCTATTTTATTAATGATTTCAACAATAACAAGTCCCAAACGCCCATATATTGTAAGCCCATATAAATCATACTCAATATTCGGTAATATAGTGGCAGCAGTATCTTTAGTTGCTGCGGATTTTCCATGATGATTCAGAAGTGATGGATAAGGTAATATAATAGGATCTATTATGCCTCTAGATGCACCAATAAATCTAGACAAAAAAGGCTCACTGAGATTAATCCATTCGCCATTATTTAAAAGCAATGGTTTGATAACCTCTAATTGTTTTGATGGCTCATCCTTATAGAAACTTTCACATAATTTCATCACTTGCTGAACAAAATCTGTTGGACTATTATGATGAAAAAAAATAATTGTAAATAAATATTTCAAATAAACATATAATATATATTTTAAAAGTAATTTTTAAAAAAATACCTGGCATCATAATTAATATTTAATAAAGAAGATTTGATTTGTAGTGAAATCAACTTGCTAACTTCATTATGACAAGAAAGCAACTTGGAATTTTCAACAAGTAATTCCCAACAACTTTCAGCAATTGATTTAATTCTCACTACTGCTTCAGAATTAGAATCATCTTGAGGTTTCATAAAAGTAAGTTGAAAAATTTTTCCAATAACATATTTTAAATTTGAATGATCAACAATGACTTTCAGCGATTGATCGTCTTTGAATAATTTTTCAAATGTTTTCAAAATTGAGATCACACTATCATAAATCATCATATTCCTTGTAATAAAATAAGATTCTGTGAAATCAGCAGTGGCTTTTGAAAATAGACTGAAAATTTCTATTTTTGTTTGCTTTGAAATTATATTAACTTCAAAAAATTTTTTAATAAGAGTTAATAATTATTTATTTATTTGAGCATATTTTAGAAATTATTGAAGCAAACCTTTTGATGAAAATGTGTCATATAAAAGTTCCTCAACACCAGTTCTAGTGTTATAATCAAGGTCTTTATCTAATAGGCTTTTTGAAAGATCAATCAACTAACCATTGTATTGTTCAGCATATAAATTCATTGAAATGATTATTTTTGAAATCTACATGGTAAAAAAACAATTGATCAATTATATAAATAAATCAGGTAAATAAAAACTCATGAAA